TTCACCTGAACTCAAGGAGCAGGTCTTGAACAAGATTGCCAATATGTCGCTCTACAAGTCGATCTTCCCTACGATCACCACCGAGCAATGGGAGCAGTTCTTTAGCGATGAGCTCGCGGAGAACTCAATCCCTGTTGTCTGGGAAGAGACCACAGAGAACATTGACAGGCTGCTACGCTCATTGTTGCTTGTGAAGCTCTGTAGAATGGACAGATTCGTGCCAACTGCGGAGCGCTTCATCGAGGCCGTCTTTGGCAGAGAACTCTTCGAGGGAAGCACCGACTTGAAGGATATCGTTAGCCAAGTCACAGCAACTACGCCAATCGCCCTCAGCTCCAGCCCTGGTTTCGATGCCAGTTACAAGGTCGATGCTCTTGTCGAGCGCATGAACGCAACCTGTGCCAACATCGCCATGGGTTCGAACGAAGGTCTTGAGAGTGCTGATAAGGCAATCAGCAATGCAGCTGCCGCAGGTAACTGGGTTCAAGTCAAGAACGTACACCTGGCGCCATCATGGCTGCAAAGCTTGGAGAAGAGGCTCGAGTCCCTCAAGCCTCACAAGGACTTCAGACTCTTCCTTTCGATGGAATCAAGTCCCAAGATCCCAGTCAACCTCCTCCGTGCTTCCCGCGTGCTCATGTACGAGCAGCCTGCTGGTGTGCGCGCCAACATGAAGGATTCTCTGTCCTCGTTGTCTACCCGGGCCTCCAAGGCACCGGTCGAAAAGGCTCGTGTCTACCTCCTTCTGTGCTTCTTGCATGCAGTGGTGCAGGAGCGACTTCGCTACGCCCCGAGCCTGGGCTGGAAGGGATTCTGGGAGTTTAACGACAGTGATGTAAGTCAACCAACCCAACCTCCTTTATCACAGCATCCCACTAACATAATTGCTTTAGTACGAATGCTCCGCCCACATCATCGACTACTGGGTTGACACCATCGCCCAAGGCCGATCCAACGTGGCTCCTCAGAAACTGCCCTGGGACATGATCCGCACCCTCGTGACCGAGACCTACGGCGGCAAGGTCGATGACTTCGCCGACTTTAAGCAGCTCGAGAGCCTGGTGACTAATCTTCTTACACCAGCCGCTTTCGAGGACGAGCACAAGATCGTTTCTGGTGTCGAGAACGACGACTGTCTTACCCTGCCTGGTGGAACAAGCATTCGGGACTTTGTCGAATGGGTCAATAAGCTGCCGGAACGTGAACCCCCGACGTACTTGGGTCTACCGGCTAATGCGGAGAAATTGCTCCTGGTCGGACATGGTAATAAGATGATTTCGGATCTGTCTAGAGTGACGACGCTGTTGGATGAGGGAGAGCAGTTGATGATTGAGGCTTGATTTGTAGGTGATAGATTTCTCCGGAGTAGAATGACATCGTTTGTTTATCCTGTATTTGATAAATCTTACATTGCGTTCAATTCTAGGTCGTTGGTCTACTCTATCCCTTTTATTTGTAGAAACACATAATACTCGCCAGCAGGCAAACTATCAATGCATTAACATCCTCCACCCTACTCTACCAACCAACTCGTAAGTCTAGCTTCAGATAAACAATGCTCTATCTATGAATCCCTGTATTCCAGCGAATACTTCTCGAATGTCCGCCTTTCAGCAGAAACCCGGAGAGTAGCCCTTGCACCGATGCCTCTTCGTGCACCTTATGTTGAACATCCTTTGGCGGGCGATTTCCCCCAGCCCGGCGAGTTTCTCTAGGCGCAGTGCCGCATGGTTGAACCTATATAGAATCCTGTGGTTCCTCATCCTTCTTCTCCTTTTCTTCTTCTTCCTATTCCTACTCACTGTCCTTGTCCTCCTCTTCTTGTCGTACCAGGACATCTTCTTCTCCTTCCAGGTCATCATTATCAGAGTCAAAGACTTCAGAGGCTTCTGCAGTACCACTCAGAGCCAACGCCCTGGTCAACTTCCACTGCATTTGTAAAACATCAATCGAAGAAAGGGGTAGTCTGTCGGGATCGCTCAACTTGGAACATGCTTTGGCGATCTTGAATGGTAAGATAGTCTCTATTACTCCTCCTCTTTACATATGATTGGATGAATGAAGGGGAAAGCCGTTATATGTTTCGCCTAAATACCAGCGAGATCGTTTTTTGAGGCCTTTTCTAGTGGTTCGTAGGGCTTCGGTAAGAGTGTCTTTGTCGACTGTGCCCAGGCTCCGGAGTAAGGTGAGCTCCATAGTGAGTAGCGAGAACCGCAGTGTATGCGGGCATATCGGCCTACAGAAACACCCTCGAGTGGCGGTCTAACTTTGAGTGAGCTTTGGGCAGTTTCAGTGCGGAGTCTAATATAACGACTGTTATAAGACAAATTATCAGCGCATTCAAAGACAACCTGGCCATTCGCGTCTCATAACAGTGGCGTGTTAGCACAAGGTTCTTCCTTGACTTCTGTTAATAACCCACTGAAGGGTTTGGGAAGGTAGATATAGTTATCAATGGACGTCCTTGGATATCGATCAGATGATATGTAGTGCCAGTATCCTATGATGGGTGGAGGCTGTTTCGTAAGATGAATTCCAATAGTCGTTTCCCACTTGTAGGTCGAGTACATTGGGAATGAAAGTAACCTCATGGGTAGGGTGTATTCCCTCGAATATCATACAAGCTGGCGGTAAATAGGGATGTTCTTTACCATGGGAGCAACCTCATGCGCAGATTCTGGAGATAAAGATATATTATTATATTGACAGTTATAATATTTTTTTTCTTTATCAGAGTATCTATATTCTTAGTCTTTAGCATGTTATGGACTTTGTAGAATACAGTGATATTGATTCCATATTTCTTTCTAAAGCGCTCAACGGCTATCGAGAGTTTTTGGGGTATGTTGTAGTAGTGTTTGCGTAAGACGTAGCAGAGGCCACCGATGTACCGTTCGAGAGCTCGACCGCCCAACCAGTGCAAGAAGGCCTAAGTGTTGGTGCCGGCACCAACATTGTGTCAGGGGTCTTCCTGATGGGGAAGGCACGCTGCAATGTACCTCAACCACCCAGGGTCGTATTCAGAGACCGGGATGTATATAAGTATAGTAGTATTCAGTAAAATTCTCTCTTTCTCCCAGTTGGCCTATCTGATATATTCAGCTCCTGGCGACCCCCAGCACACGGAGAATGCTTCACCCAGGCGACCACCTCGGCCACTTCTTGTATGATGATATTTGGGAAGTGTGATTTTCATCCATCACGATGTCTGTATATCGTCCCATGGACTCTTCGTACTCCTCAGATCGATGAATATGTTGTAGGACAGTAGCAATGATTCCTGCTCGATATGTATTCTGAGAATATTTAAAATATATATTATCATAATATATGATCATCCCGAAGAGTGTCGCCCTGCATCTAATGTGAAGACTAGTTTTTTCTCTTCCCAGAGTTTCGTAGACGGAGCAATTTACCCTGAGCTAGGAGAGGTTTAGTGTAGCAGGTATGTCAATATGATGCTTATAGCTGGCAGTGCGCTAGACCATTTCTTTGGCCATATATGAGTAGGTTTCTGCATATAGATTCTATGATCTGCGATATTATGCAGTCGAATGTCGGGATACTTACTGCATTCCGGCAACAGCCCTGACGGCGTTCACGAAGTCATCCAAGGTGGATATCCAGCTGACATATCCAGTATCACCGGGCAGGAAACGCACATTCTCGTGAATCTGGCGCTGCTCGAGAGTTACGTGGAGGCCAAAGTGAGGAATCGCTTGGACTAGAAGAGCACGCTGAGCCGCAATTAACTTTCCATAGTACTCGATGCTGGTACCATGTCGAATTCCCTGTGATTGAGCTTTTGGGGGGTGGGGGGTGGGGGATATCTGGGGTTTATATCTGTATATCGTATCCATTTGAGACCAGTGCAATGAGATATTCTCTGGGGATAGCGAGCAACAAGCTCATCTTCCGGGATATCTCTAGCATCCCTGATTATTCATGACTTCTGGTTGTCTCACCACATTATATATTTGATATAACTATATATTATGTAGATTAGATCTTCTTGATATTGACAGTGATACTAGTAGTCTCTTCAAATATATAATAAGCTTCAAAGCTGGATTTGGAGATGAAGAAGAAAGAAGAAGCAAGACAGGTTGAAAGGAGATATTTATATTGCTGCTACAGACTACAATGCACTTCCAGCACAGTGAAGAGAAGGAGTACTAGTATTACTGTGAAGTTTAAAGATTGAAAAGAAAGCTACCTATTCACAAAACATATTCCCAGCAGGTTCGTTGGGGAATAGAGATATCGGTATCATGGAACTCAGAATGGAGGACCACTGCTAGTTCCTCTCTATGCGGAATATTAAGGTTATCAGATCGTGGTTAATGACATCGTGTTCGGTTGGTTTTGGGTCGGCTTGGAAGATTATTTTAACTTGATGGCAGAGTGTATGTTTTGGATGACTGGTAGTATATATGATGTATGTGGGTAGTTTGATGGAAGAGGGTTGTCTTCGAGGTTAGTTGATCGTTGGTGCCAAGTGGGTGGTGGTGAGCTGGTGGGTTCCGGTTACTCCTATGTTTTAGATGGTTGATAGGTTATATCTGTGCCCTGCAAATAGGAAAAGAGGAGTATACATGGAGGAATCGATGCTTTTACTATCTAGTCGGTGCTCAATTAGACTACCGTCTCCGATGGACAGCCATTGAGACTTGCCTGCTTCAGTCCTACTTCTGGGGAAGTAGACTATAATGCCTATCCTCATCATATCTTACAACATACCCTACATGAGAAACATACTACCACTACTGCTGCTACGATACGTCTTCCATGGCAGGTCTTAATCCAGTCTCATTCAAATAACCCAATGTAAACCAGGTCAATTCTTCCTTCTGGCGAGCAACAAGATCAGAAATAGCAACAAAACGAAACACACCAGGAAGTTCAACAATCACGTGCTGGAATAGATATTATGCCAATCGAAAGGAGTCATCGACGACATCACGAGAAGACAGCACCAGAATAACGAGACATATTGGTATTCAAAGTGGAAAGTTGACCTGGTAATCCTGCACTGCTCTCTCGTATGAATCAACCGGATTGTAGTTGTACAGGGCACCTTTACCATCCCCGTTTAAGCCTGCTAGAACAGCATGCACCTGATACAAAAAGAAATCTTTCTGGTAAAGGATAGTTGACAAGCGTCGGGCAAATGCTCTCACGAACATGGGCTTTCCGTGTTGGTCTTTGTACATGAAGAGTGGTCTTATCCAAAGCCATAGAGAGTATGGCCCATCTATTTCATTGGGTTTATGTTAGTATAGGTCCGTCTGACCAGACTGAAAGTGGAGGTAGATCCGAGTAACCGGATTTACTTACTCTGTTAAGGGCATAAACGACCTTCGCCATCTTATGTCAGTATACGCATATGAACTAGGTAATATGCTGGGTGCTCACATCTGTGGTACGGACAACCTAGAAGAAGTGATGTCAGTCCATGTTGTCAAAGCCATCTAACAAACTGAAATATTCATCGAAAACATACCTTGCGTTCGTGGCCAGGAGTGGTGGACGATTCCATTACCAGAAGAATTTGCCGGATTACCTTGGAAAATCAGCTGATAGTTCCCGATATATACATATTTAATCCACGTACCTCAGTGAGCCGGCTCTTGACAGTCTTGCGGACTTCAGGATAGACATCAGCGCTAATGCGAACAACGCCACCGCGGCGGGCAAGACGACTAGATCCAGTGATAAGTTAGTTGTGTTATTCATGGTACACGTGCTGCTATCTTAGGAGATGCATGTTTGATTGAGTTTGCGTACCGGATCGAGGGGCGGGCTAGCCTTCGTTAGTGAGAGACTTGTAGCATTGTTTGTAGATTACTTTGTTAACTTACTAATTCCGTCTATGTTGTTCCGCAAGATCTTACTGCAGTGGGAACCATTGTTAGTATGTTCTACTGAAGTAGGACAGCGTAACTCCGCAGAGGGATCGTGAGGGGATTTGATACCGAAATCGCTTCTTCGGGAGAAATCTCTTGCTCTTTCTATCGGTGACTAGTCTCGGGTCCATGGTAACTAGATCTGTATCTACAGACGACTTGTCGATGAAATCTGTTTAGACTGGTAGACGTGATCTGGAGATGAGTTGGTTGTAGAGTAACAGGATGATGAGATTTGGAGTTTGGAGGGCTTGATATACTGCATCATGAACTGAGTGAATGCACCGTGCAGTTGCCATGCGTGTTAGTGCTCGGTGCATGGTGCATGAAGCAAACGGGGCCAAAGGGAATGTCATGGCAACAAGCGGGTCTGTGCAGTGAAGCATGAGGTTGAGGAAGACATGATTGAGTAACATTAGATATACCCTCTGGGAGGTTTATGAACTATTAGGGATGGATATTTGCGTAGCATAGCGTATAGGTAACGTCAACGGGAAAATATCAAACAACACTTAGAACGCCTTCGATGGGGTCCATAACCATGCCATATGCACCTGGATCGGTCTATGAGATGAACGTGGCCTCGGAGAACATGGTTCCCTCCTCGGTGACTTCGGAGTCGCCGACCTTGAGCTTCAGAGAGAGCTTCTCCTGAGGGCAGTACTAGAGACCGAAGTTAGTATGCTGCACCAGTGACATACGATTCAAAGCACATACCTGGAAGATGTATGGTCGCGTGCCGGCAACACTGCCAGCAATGGTCTTGATGAAGCCGGGCACTTCCGCCATCACGTCGATCCGGTCCAGTCGGTTGCCAAGAGCCCCGTCAAGCTCCGCATGGACTTCTTGTCCCTCCTTAGACTTGCCATCCCAGACCCACTTGATGGACTTGGGCTCGGGCCAGTCACTTTCAGCATCCTGCGATGAGTCGGTGTGAGTGGCGCTGTTGTTGATACCAGCATAAATGATCTCTCCATCCTTGACGATACCGCCGACGTTGACCGTTGTCGATCCGTACGACGGAGGGGTAGTGTATTCCATCATCATGGCAGAGTAGGTAGGAGTCTGGAAGTTGACAAAGTTCCACCGCGCAGCTATGCAAATGTCAGAAACTTCGCTCTTCGAGACGCCAGCGTGGAGAGAAGCTTACCCGCGTGGTGAGGCTTCATGCCCTGAAGGGCATGGATGAACATTCCCCGGCCCGTGAGGTCGTACGTCTTCTCCTTGGTCGTGATAGTACCCTCAACGGCACATCGGGGCCAGAAGGCATGGCTCATCGAACCCCATGGGTTCTCGGGGTCCGTGCCAAAGTAGGACGTGCCGTCCTTGCCGATCATGAAACCAGGGGAAGAGCGCTTGAATGTCAGGTTCACCAGACTATCCTCGTTCACAGCGGACTTGATGGTATAAGTATCGCCATCCTCGTTGAGTTGGACAGCGAGGTTGTCGGCACCAAAGGAGAGCATGCTTTCATCGAACATGAAGTTGGACAGGGGATCCGAGTGCCAGTTGTGGGGTCCATCGCCTTTGAGGTTGAAGATCTTCGATGTGAACTGAGCGGTGGTGTGGAGACCTCTGTGGGAGCACGAGCAGCATTAGAAGATGAGACGAGAGTGAGGCGATGTTGAATCATTGGTAAGTAAAGGTACAACTCACACGATGTTGCTGTAGATCAGCTGAACCATCGCCAAGGTACCATCATCGGCCATGATGTAAAAGACCTTGTTTTCGACATTGGTGTACTGGTAAGCGCGCCAGCGCAGGTCATTCTTGCTGAGCTCGGTATAAGGAGTCTCTTGGGCCTGGCGGGCGACAGATTGAATGGCTTCAGGCCCATAGATGGGCTCCTGCGTACCGGCAACGGAAGCGAGACTAGAGGCGGGGGATTTTAAGTTAGCAAACAAAAAACATGTATATCAGCTGATTCAGCAGAGTGAAAAGAAGAGCAAGCATACGTTGACTTGAGCCAGTTCATTATGGGCGATATGTGAGGTGTCGTGAGGAATTACAACGAACAGAGGGAGGTTGTGAAAACAAGAGAATGGGAGATGTGAGGAAAGATGGAAATCAAATCGATAGCGCGCGGGGCCACAAGGGGGGTTCGGTCGATCGTTCTATAGTAGCTTCCGGTGGTCTGGACAAATGCTGAGACGAGCAGCTGGCGAGCGGGACAAGACGGGAAGAAGAGTCCCAAAGTTCACTTGGGAGTCACAAACAATCACAGCTAGTTTTCTGCCAACAGTAAAGGATCAATGGGGCATTAAGCCAAACGAACTTCAGTGCAGCAGATGAGTGAGTTGGTGGCAGGTGAAGCGCTGACCGCCAACTGGGCGAGGAATCCGGATGACGTCCAGCACTCGAATGGCAGCCGGATTTCCTGTTTGGGCTTCGCTTGTGTCCCAAACGGAAAGTAACGCCGACCCCGCGGCGCCATCCCGAATCCAGAACCCCAAGAAAACTTGGCCGCAAAAGACGCTCGCCGACTGCCGCATTGATTGTTCGTCAGTTGCTGTCCGGACACCCCATACGCTCCCTCACTTCAACACCAATTCGCCTTCACTGCAATCTCATCAAACGTACCGTCGAATATTATCATCATGGCGAAGAAGGCATTGGCCAAGGACCAGATCGTGAAGCTCATCGTGGGCGCCGGTCAGGCCAGTCCCAGTCCCCCCGTCGGTCCGGCCCTGGGTAGTAAGGGTGTGAAGAGTATGGACTTTTGTAAGGTAAGCTGAGAGCACACTTCATTGACGGTTTCAATTGGATTTGTCTTCTGCAGACCGTCCAATGTGGCCTATCCGCACTAGAAGGACGCGCAGGGCTGATATGGTATACTGTAGGAATTCAACGCCAGAACTGCACACATCAACACCGGTGTCCCTATTCCTGCGCGTGTCACTGTCCGCCCCGACCGTTCCTTTACCTTCGACCTCCGTACTCCCACCACCACCTATTTGCTGTTGCAAGCGGCCAATGTGGAACCTCGCAAGAATCGCATCCGTGGCGCCCAGAACCCGGGCCATGAATTCATCGGCAAGATCTCCCTCAAGCATGTCTACGAAATCGCCAAGATCAAGCACTCCGAGACGCGACTGTCTGGACTGAGCCTACAGGGATTGTGCAAGAGTGTCATTGCCCAGGCCAAGTCCGTTGGCATCCAGGTTGTACCATGAGGTTATTGCGGAGCGGGCGATTGGTGATGTCGTTGTACACTATCTTGTGCCCTTACTCCCGTAAGGTTACTCCTCTTCTTGTCTTGGGCTTACGAAATTGGCGTTATGTGGAACTGGGTTTGTTACCATCTGTATCATAGGCATTGCATGTTGTATAGAAAGCGTTGGCTGGTGCCTCAAGCGATCACATGAAGTGGATTTGACTGTCTGACCATGAAGGGCTCGGCTCTTGGGTATAAGGGCGGGCGTAGGTTGCTGGTGATGCATTCCTGATCAGGGCCTGCGTGCGAGCTGGTGGTCACGATACCTATACGAAGTAGTAAGAAGTCGGGTGGAAGCCCGCGAGTCAGCAATAGCGGTATACACGCCTTTCTTCACCTACCAATCCATGCCCATACACTTGCCAGGGGGCTTTTATACACTTCCAGTATTCATCAGCGGTTTACAAAGTGTTAGAAAGGGATGCCAGACAGTCTGTTGCTAAGCAGTCAATATTGGCGCTGGCCCCTTGCCAAGTTGGAGATCGGAGGGAAGGAAAAAAAGCTGAGCAAGACACAACAGCGTGCCCAGAAATACCGCCGAGAAAGCCAAGAGGCGGAGGACACGCAAGTTTCCTCCTAACGTCTTGGATACGCGGCCAGGTGAGAGGTCGGGGGAGGAATAGTCGTACGGTTCTGTAATGACAAGCCCCTTTCTCCCACTATTTTGCTTGGCAGGCATGAAAGCTGTTTCTCCGCTCGAATCCTCAGCAGTGCTCTTCTTGGCCTCACAACACAGTAAGTTAGTCGACGGACGGCAGAGATTGACAATAGCAGCAAGCCAGGAAGCAGGTAGGTAGTGATGGCCTGAGAAGATGATTCCATAATCTGCAGATGTGATGTGATGGGGTTACCCCACATTCTATGAGTGCTTCTGGAATTGTACCAGAACCCTTGACAAGGGGCAGGTGGCGACTATCTTGAAAAAGTAAGTAGCTGGCCAGGTTGGGAAATGGCGATATACACTCCTGGCTGAAACAAGCGCTCATCAGAAAAAATAACTGGAAGCCTTCAGCAGCCTGATTATACTTGCAGTGGATAGCCAGCCTTTTACTTGGATGTATGACAGTGCTTGTGAGGCGGCTGTTTCTTCATTGTTGACTCTTTATACCCCAGCCGCACTACTCTATAAGTCGGAGAGAGACCCAGCCGTCATTGTTCATTATCTCCATCGAAACGGAAACTTTCCAGATCGGGCTGGGTTTACCGTCCACTGGATACCCAAAGCGGAATGAGACGCCCCACAGGAGCACTAACCCTAAAACAGAATGGTGACGCTATCCGAACCAGGGCGCGGGTTACCTACCTGAACAGACAGATGAGGTGCTAGTTATCAAATAGTAAGGTTATAGTCCAGTAGGAATTGGGTTAAATCGGCGAGAACATTGAGCGGATAATTTCACGCGTCTCCGATCCCGAAGGCTCCGATGATTGACAGGAGGTGTGTGGAAGAGTGTCCATGGACAAGGGCAGGCAGCTGACGGACGGACAGATGATCAAAGGGTGGCCGATTCATCAGCTGAGTGGACCGTGGGTTCGCCCTCACTCCAATCTGCATGCATTAAACCCACGCCAGATGAGATCCAGAAGAATCTAGCGGGGTAAGCGACCAGCCCATCCATGCCTGTGGGCTGTGCGGATCGGGGAATCTGGAGGGTCGTCGTCCAATACTGTTCGCGGATGACAAACTGCCCGGCTAGACGGCACCGGCAGCTGCTGTTGTTCCTCTACTCGGTGCCAACTGACCTCCGGAGCAGATAGGATAGATGGATAGATAGATAGATAGATCAATAAATGGATGAATGGATGACAGCAAAAGCCCGTATGCAAGCCATATAACTAACCAATTACTGAATCACTAATTATCGGCTTATGACGGGCGGCCGTTCGGACAACTGGCGTAGACGTTACAGGTATTTACATGCCTGCCTGCCTGCCTTACCCGTAACGGCCGTGCCTTTGATGTCATGGCAGCCGTTCTCCGGGTCTCCTTGTTTGTTCTCCATCTGTAGATGGTAGACCACGTCTGGGGGGATTATGACTCCTACTTATGTACGCTACTCTGTTATGATTCATGATCCACACCCATCCCACATCCTCGGTTAGACAGATGCTTGCTTCAACTTCACTGTAAGAGGTGGGTAATTCCCGCACCATTACAGTCACAGGCTGCTTTTTCCAATCTTTTGTTTCCCCTCCTCTCCGCGGATTTCCGATCAAGAGAGCAGTCAAGATCCAATCTTTGGAGCACGGGGGGAACGCTTCGCTCCGACCGACCGCCAAGTAAACACGGTACAGACTGCATGTAACTTTGTGTGGGATACATTCGTTCCTTTAGGTTGGGATTTGCAGTAATTATGATGATGATGATGATGATGATGATGCTTCTGCTTTCTGTCCAGCCCTTATGTTTTCTATTTTAGGCCGGGTGACCAGCTGGGTAATCTAGACCTGGGCATCCATCCCTTCCTGGGAGAAAATGGGCGTGTGGAGGAGGCTTCTAGAACGGGGGCTAACGGGATCGAGTGGTAACAAGTAGAAAGATTTATACAACTCATCTAACCTCGTTTCAAATGCAAACATTCAATGGGGTGCAAGTATTTGAGTTGAAGGTGGAAAGTGCAGTAAAATGTGGTGGTTGTGACAGTAGCAGTAATTAAGAACCAAGTTATAATTAATCCACTGCCCCAGAAGAGAATTGTATTTTTCTCCCCGTCCATCCCGCCGCTATTGCCGCCGCCGTCGATTTGGCTGGTGGCTCCCCAAATCCCCCCCAAGACCGCCGCCGCACCTGCTTTGCTTTTTTGCTTTTTTGCTTTTTGACTTTCTTATTCAGTTCGAGTTCCAAGTCTTCCCTGTCCCGGTGGAACCTCTCCGGTCTGCCTTCTCCCCTCTACTTTGTACTAGTCAGTAACTAGACTAGAACGAACTGCCTGACTAGTCTAGCTCCTGCTCTTGCTCCTCCTCCTCCGTCCCTCACTAACTTACTGATCTCCCTCCCTCAACTCACTCTCCCTCTCCATCCTCGTCGTCGTTCCTCCTCGTTTCTTCACGACTGTCGGTCTCTCTCCCCTCTTCTTGACTCACCAACGCAGCCGTTCTTGGATGGGGCGAATCTCTCCCGCCCCTCAGCATCCTCCCGCCCGTCCAAGTTCCTGCCCTGCGTCGACGTGAGTTCAACCACTACTTATCTCCCTCCCGCACCCGTTTCTCGACGAAAGATTTGTTCCGTCTCGCATACCGAAACCTCCGTGCCTCTTCCACTCTTGTCCCACGAACTGTCCTGAATCGTCTCCTCCCCCCAAGCGACGTCGTTATTATATAGAGTATTGCCGCTCTCCTTATTACTCTGCAGCCGTTTTTCCCCATTACTGTTGAGTTCATTCTCCCGGTATCTCCCGTGGAGGGGCATGTGTCCCACCCTGTGGTCTTGACCAAGTATGACGTCTGAAGCGACGGATTTTGCCCAAGCCAACGCCAACATGAACTCCGGTAAGCACCACCCTTCCACAACAACCAATTCAGACTCCTCCCTCTGACTCGGCAACTTCTCAACTTTTAGCTGCTGAAACTACCCAATCTCCTGCCCAGATGACCCCTGGACAGGCGACCGAGTTTGACGACAATGACTATAAGTTCAAGTCGCAACCCGGCCAGGTCCGGTTCTCAACGATAACGGAGGAAATCGAACCTTCGGATTCCTCGGCCCCTCCCCAAGTACCACCGCCCGATGACACGATGAAGGATCAAAAGCAAGAAGAGGAACTGCGGTCCCTGGCTGCCAGCCTACAAAAATCCCAGTTACAAGAGACGCGGTTGCGACAGTTCTCATACGACCCGATTTCTCTTCCATCTTCTAGGGTATGTACCCCATCTGTTTACTCACAATGGCCCTGTACTGCAATCCAGCATCGACGGTGGCGTGGAAGATCATGCCGCCTACTTCGGGACAGTCGGCTCCTCGCATGGCCCTGCATTGATCTTCCAGATCTACCAGATCTGAACAGAAACTGACTGCTGCATCTCCCTTACAGGTTGCGTCGCGAGAGTCAAGCGACCGCAGCGGTCGCGAAGCCAATGGATCAGGCCTGCCCTCTCCCCGAGACTCCCCGACGGTGTCCGCTATGCAGTCACCCCCGCTTACACCAGCTGCTACTCACTCACGTGAAGCCAAGTCTACTGATACCTCGTCAACATCGAACACTACGGACAAAGGAGCCCCGGGGCAGTCCGCTGCCATGACCCCCACTACTTCCCCACCGACAAGCGCGACCCTAAAGAACAAAGCCTCTCAGAGTGCCCCCTCTTCACGACCCTCTTCAACCGACCAATTGTCGAAACAGAATAACGTCGCGCAAACATCGTCCCATCCGCTAAATTCCCCGAAACATAGGGCGCAGTTCTTCGTTGGCCCTGCGGCTGATGGAGGTGCACAGGATGAAAGCCCTCCGATGACTCCGAGGGTTGAAAGCTATACTCCTCCTGGTGCGATTACACCCGTCGGAGAGCCCAATGATCCATATGCTCGCAGCAAACGGCCCCCACCGCCAAAGAACCTCGCCCAACTGGACCAACGCTTCATCTTCAACGGCAGAGATGCGAAACGTCGCACCAACACCTCCTCGTCTTTCACCCGCCCTATGTCTCCTCGGTCTGCCAGTGCAAGTGATCTCAGGTCTACCGAAAAGCGCAGCGGCTTTTTCGGCAGCAAAAAAGAGGTCAAGCAGCAGGAACCGGAAAGCAAGCCCCACGGCCACATGTCCGAGCTAAAGCGCTTCTTCAAACGGAACCACCACAAGCATAAGCGTGCTGATTCTCCCTCGTCCATACCCTTCAAAAAGTCGAGCCGGTCTTCGGGCAAGAATGGCCCTTTCCACACATCGGATAGTGTTCCGTTCGCTGATGACCATGGGCTCAACTCAAAGTACGGGAAGCTAGGCAAGGTTTTGGGTTCAGGAGCAG